TACTCATAAACAGCGTTGGTGATAGCACACAGCCTTGTGGAACACCAGCGTTAATAGGCTTGTAGTCGGAACATGCACCGTCTACAACGACCTTGATGCTCCGATCTGCAAGGAAGCTGGTGATCCAATTGCACAATTTCTCGGGAAGCGCTTTGTGCCACACCCGATCGAAGGCTTTCGCAATGTCCAAACTAACGGCCAACGCCTCCCCCTTGGACTCTACTGCCTCCGCCCATCTATGGGTCAGGTAGACCAGAAGGTCATCAGCTGATCGACCCCGACGAAAACCATATTGGCGGTCACTAATCAGCTGGTGATCCTCAAGGTACCGCATGAGCTGGCAGTTAATAATTGATTCCATTATTTTGGAGAACAAGGAGGTGATCACGATAGGCCTATAATTGGACGGGTCTGAGCGGTCGCCTTTTTTAGGGATCGGGTGGTCAAAAGCTGTCTTCCATGAATTCGGGACTACGCCTTGGGAGTAGGAGTACCGGAAAAGACGCGTTAGGACGTTAGTTAGTTAGACGTTAGACGCCCGTGCCAACTCCGGAGCACACGTCCTCAGCACAATTGGGGGGGGGGGGGATTCCGTCGGGCCCACTCGACTTCTGGATGTCCAGGGAGAGGAGTGCTTTGCGAACTGAGCGCTGTGAGAACAGCATATCCGGCATGGAGCACTCACACCGCGGGATGGTCGACGGTGTTTTCTTGTTATCTTTTGCGTCTCGGGCCAGTGAGTCGTCCTCCCTGTGCAGAGATGGTAGTGATGGCTTACAGAAATTCCCTTGGACAGCCTTGGCGAGAGACCAGAATGCACGGGTTCTCGAAGGAAGGCGAACTAGTTTCTCGCCAATTCTGCCTATGTGCTCTGACTTTACCTTGGCAATAACTCTTTTGAAGGACCTGGAGGCGAAGTTATACTTCTTTTTAAGTGTGCTGGTGTTTACATCCCGAGTCGCCGAAGCCGCAGCCCAGGCTTGATAACACTCCTACTTACTGCGTAATGCAGTCTTACAAGAGCGACCAAACCAAGGCTGAGATCTGCCTCCGATGGGTACCACAGATGATGGAATAAATAGTTCCATTCTCTGTAGCACCACATCAGTGACAGAGTCAGCGACAGCGCTGGGATCATCCGGCGAGAAGCAAACCCGCCCCCATTGGTAGGATGCAAAGAAAGACCGCATTCCGTCCCAATCCGCCGACCTGTAATGCCAAACACGGCGGCAACCTGCAGAACGCAACCCCGAGGGGAGCGTGAGTGGCACCACACTCCGGAGATAATGGTCCAAAGAGCCGAGAGGGGCATCGACGGAAACCTGATATCCGCCCGGATGAGAGGTAAGCAGAAGGTCCAACAGGGAAGGTGATTGATCCTCAACAATCAGTCAGACCATATGCCAAGGCAAAGTCATAATCAGATCTCCCCGCATGATCGGTTAAACGTGAACCGAGCCATTCGGCATGGTGGGCGTTAAAATCGCCAAGGATCACGATCTCTGTGGATGGGACCTGTTGTAGCAAGGAATCTGTAGCCATTTGGACGTGGTCAATGAGTCAGTCTGTTTCGGCATTACCGCTATGGGACCTATAGAGGCACCCGTAGACGCGGGGATGGTCGTCGCTGTCTACGCGCAGCAATAGGATGGACAGGTCCGAACCTTCAAGACTGCCGAGGCGTCGAGAACAGATGACCTCTCTGACATACACGCAAACTCCAGCCCGAGGCACAAAGGAGTGCTTCAATTTGTACCCCGGGTAGGAGAGATACGAAATATCAGCCAGAGAGGAAACCTGCGTCTCGGTCAGAAAGAGCAAGGCCGGCTTCGCCGTCTCGAGATGGTAGTGGACGGCGTTTAGGTTCGAGTGAAGTCCCCTGATGTTGCAAAAATTCACGGATAGCGTGGCAGGGGTCGCCTGGGTGTTGTTGCTCAGTTTGCCCCGAGCAGTTGTTTTTGAGTGGAATTTTGCCCCCCCCCCCCCCCCGAATACGCGGGGCAGCCTGAGCACCCACGCTCAGGAGTGGAATAACATGGTCGTGGATGTTCAGCGAGGAATTCTCCAGGGGTGCTGGTACCCTCCTGGGGTAGTCTAACGTGTAATTCCGCTACCACGTTGACGGTGGGGGGGGGGGGGGACATTGGGCCTCCGGCCACCTGCACTCACCAGACGAAACGCAGAAGCAGAACTTCTACTTTACGCCGGTATTCTGTGAGGTCGTGGTACCAACCCTGCTCGAGCCGGCCCATACGTGCAACAGCAAAAAAACTGCTGCGTGGCTCTACTACCGTTACACTTAACTTACAATAAATATTTTTAATTTCAAAAATGTCCAGTTTAATAATGCGTCCGGATAATTAATAGAATCAGGCGTTACTTTGCGGAAATCCATTATATTAAAGTTGGGAAAATTTACTTTGCCAATATCCGCTCAATAAAATAAAATGATGTCTTACCTAATTTGAAGAGCACCTTCCGCCCTCCCTCGATTGCATGCACTATCCCCGTCACCACTACTCCCTACCTAGTGTAGTAGTGGTGGGAGTAGTGGCGCTGGGATTAGTGGTCAGTTATTTTTTATAGAAAAAGGGTGACAAACTAATACACAGTCTACCAGATGACAATTTCTGAGCATTCCTCGATGGAATGCCTCGTTTCCTGTGAAAAGAGTATGCGGGTTTCTCAGCATTGAGCTACTATTTCATGCTAGTATTCTGAGAAAGCGTGGTTCTATCCCGGTCAAGCCGACCCATTCATGCTGCAACCATAATATAGCTGCAGCATGGCTAGACCACGTATAAATCAAAGTCAGCACTACCAGAGTGGACGAGGTTGCCATGATTTTGTAGCGCCTCAGATATAGCCACCTAGGCGTGCGCAGATTGTGCAAGTCCTGCTCAATGAGATCCTACTGCTGTACAAGTGAACACCGTTAGTGTGGACAACGGACGTCCACGTTACCTGTGTACATGAACATACTATTAAATTTAATTAAAGCTATATTTGATTTTAGAGAAATATTGAAGATGGGCCAGATCAGGAGTATATATTACCGATGTGCATATATGCGTAGGCATAAGGATGTAAAGGACGGGGAGATAGGTGTCAGGATCGTACGAAATGGAAGTCCATAGATTCTGACTACCCCTCCGGGTGATAGGCGTGAGTGTTTATAATATGATTTGAGCGAGTATGCCTTGTAATTTAATATAATATAAGAATTAAGACATTTCCAATGAAAACTCTTTCTGCAGATTGCAGAAAAACCCAAAAACTGTCCGCTCACACTTAATCTCATAGCTCTTGACGGGAAACAAACATATCGTCAAATGCATTCGGCGCAACTTCAATACAGTTCGTGTTGAAGAAGCGATTGAATGTAACCAAGGCTCAAAAATCTGCCGAAGATCTATGTGCCGGAAAGAGTCAAATGCCGAAGTTTAAGACCGACTGTGGAAGTGTCATTTTCGGGATTTTGTGTCAGATTGAGAGGTTGTACAAAAATTGTTGTTAAAATATGATCACGGACATTCAAATGCTGTGATTCAGGAAAGAACGCAATAGTCTTCTGTATGCATGTTCGCAGGCGACAGCAAACCTACAAAATTGAGGCAATAAAATATTGCTTGTTTTCTTAGACTGTTCCTGAGTGCACGATCCCTCTTGATGAGCTAAAGACAGTTTATTTATTTCGACCAACAAGGCTCATAAACATTTTAAATAATTACTAAATTTAATATAAATTTATACATCAAATGCATAAGTACTAGGTTGATCAAAAAGTTTTCGGAACATGACACTTGTGTATGAGTTAGAGAAATGCTGCCTTTTTTTTTACCAATCTTAAATTCGTTAGTAGCCAAGGCCAGCAAAAACTAAATTAAAAACTATACAAAAATTTTTCAAACTTCATATTTGCCGAGAATTTGATTCGTATGCAAAATGGAGGAACTCGAACTTAGTGCAGTTGTTAAATATTGTTGTCTGATAAATTTTTCTACAAAAAGTGTTTTTGAAGGACTGCAGTCTACTTAGGCAGACAATGCTCTTATTCTACACGTCGGTCTTATTCTACAGTGGCATACTAGTACGCGGAATTCAAACGTGGCAGAAGCACCTGCAATGACGACACTCGCTCTGGGCGGCATAAAACAGCCGCTACGCAAGAAAACGTTAAAAAAACGAAGAAATTGTTAAGGTAGATCGACGCGTGACGATCCGTTAATTAGCAGATATTCTAAAGTTTTCGTTAGGAACAATTCAGTTTATTTTAAATTCATAACTTAAAATTCAGCCATGTGGCCGCGCGCTGGGTTTCTCGAATGTTAACAAATGCCCAAAGGAAAGCAAGGATTGACATATCAAAGCTAAATTTGGCAATTATTGAAGAAGATCCAAATTCTTTTTGCGCTCGTTTCGTAACCGTTTATGATACGTGGGTACACTATTTTATACCGGAGACGAAAAGGCAAAGCTAGGTATGGAAAATACAGTCTTCTCCGCCAGCCAAGAGTTTCAAGGTGTCGCCGTCCACTGGAACGCTAATGGCCTGTGTCTTCTGGGATGCGGATGCGGATGCGGAAGGTACATATAATAATAATCAGCAACTTAAGTGAAGGAGGGACAATAACTGGTGATTATTACGTATCATTGATCAAACAACTACGCGACAAACTAAACAATAAACGTATAAAATTCGACGGCGACAATGATGTGATGTGTGTCTTAATGGCCTATGTAGACTCGTTTTTCGAGTCCCAGGATCAAACCATTTTTTCCAAGAGAATTAACGCTGTTAAAGATGTATTAACATAAAAGGCGATTACGTTGAAAAATAAATACAAGTTACGTATACTCATCCTAGAGTGACACTGCATTTCCAAAAACTTATTGATCAAGTTTTCATAGTAATATTTAAAATATAATTAATATTTAATAGTAATAAAACAATATAATAAACCGATACCATTTATGTAATAAAAATATCAATCACTTACATTTGTGAGGTTTTCAACTTTTTCCTTGTGCTGTTTACAGGCTCGTCATTATCAGGTATAAGGATCTGCCCTGTGGCGGAGGCCAGCGAGTTGTTGGTCTTCCTACCAGTTTTTACAGGTGGCTCTGGAGGGGGTGGTTCTCCTTTGTGCGTAGCTGATGAGTTTTTTGACCGTTTTTCTGGTCGTTTCGTTTGCTTGGAGACCTTCTGCGGCATTTCTTCTTTTTCGCTCGCCGAACTCTCTTCCGAAGAATCCGACGATGCGGATTTGCACCTGTAAATGCATAAAGAAAGTAAAGTTACAACCTAAATAACTACCGCGGCTAGGCAAAATGATGCCGCGCTATTCCACTGCACGCTCCCACAACATGTTATCTTATAAAACAATAAAATAATTTAACACTGTTATTAACATTTCAATGACATCAACTTGAAGATACTACTGCTGCACAAACATTAGGTCCAACAGTTTAGAAGTTATTTCATCGTCTGTGCTTGGTCACTTTCATAAAATTTTCTTTTTCACATGAAGCTACTGAATGAATTTGTCATTCCATCTATACATATAATAAAATTGAAGTGTCTGTCTGTAATATTAAAATAATTTTATGAATGAATAAATTTAGATATAATTTAAATTTATTGATGCATAATTTGAAATGTAATAATAATTTAAATTTGACACTTAATTGTAAGAATAATAATGATAAATTTCATTTAATTGATATTAACAATTTAACGAAGAAGTTTTTGACAAGAGATAGGTATTACCTATCAAAGTATAGTATAAGACTGATAGCAAATGTGCTATCTTATTATTTATTAGACATACAGACAGACATCTTCTATTGGGCAGAATATTAACTTCATATTGAATATGAAAAATGAGACAATAGAGGTAATCTCTAGCAATCATAATATAGCTGCAGCATGGCCACACTATAAATCAATCTCAGGACTACCAGAGTAGTGGATGTATGTATATAGTAACAATTTAAATTATTCAGAAATTTTTTTATAGGAGAGGGGGCAAACGAGCATGTGGCTCACCTGATGATAAGTGACTACCGCCGCCCATGAACAAACGCAACACCAAGGGAATCACAGATGCGTTTCCGGCATTTTAAAAAGGAGTAGGCTCTTTACTTGAAGGTCCCTAAGTCGTATCGGTCCGGAAAAATCGCTGGTGGTAATCGATTCCACAGGGAAGTTGTGCGAGGAAGAAAACATCTTCTAAATCGCACAGTGGTGGACCGCCAATCATCCAGATGGTATGGATGGTACCGCGAGTTGTAGCCCACAAATAGTTAATTGTATAATTTCTCATAAAAAAACAAACAAAAATGGTATACATCTGGTGCATCAAAATATGCCAGGCATGTTGGGCAAAGAATTAGAAATTCAATTGTTTTTAAATAGTAACAACATACATATTTCTTGTACAACTGAACATTGATTAAAAGATTGTAACTATAATATGTTTAATTTCAGTAAGCAGCAGGTGGTCAGTTGCTTTAACAGAGAGAAAAAATTACGCGGTGGCTCCTTAATATTAGATAATAAATTATTAGTAAGTAAAGAACGTGAAGATACTGTGAGCCTCTCTGTTGAGCAGACTGGAGAAATGGCATGTGTTGAGTTCAAGCATTTCATTGTTGTCAGTGTTTACAGACCCCCACATTCTATGTATGATTGTTTTGTAAAAATAATGGAGGAAGTTTTGCTTAAACTTAATAAACAGAATAAATCTGTCATCGTATGTGGAGACTTTAATTTCCATTTTAGTTCCATGAGTATTAAGTTTAGATCATTGCTCAAATCACACAACCTTGTTAGTTTGTTCTTAGAGCCAACTTGTATTGCAGGGCCTAGTGCAACTTGTATAGATAACATTTTACTGATGTTGAGCCCTTACATAAATTAATTATTCAAAATTTAAGTTCCGATCACTGTGGACAGTTAATCTTGCTACCTTACGTGCACAAAAAACAGAAAGTTAAGAAAGTTGTTCTTATTGCAATAAACGAACATCGCAAGACTTAGAAAGTAGTATAGTGTAAAAGCTGCCTTTTCTTCCATATAAAAACAATACTAAATATTTATATGCATCATTATTTAAACTAATAAGTCTTGAATTTAATAAAACATTTACTTCTAAAACACTCTCTTTAAACAGTCGCAAATCGTTTAATGAGTGGGCGTCAGTAGGAATGCATAGTAGACAAAAGTTATATGACCTTTACAATGAAAGATTATATAATCATAGTGTTTCATTTACAGAATATGTAAAAAAAAGATTCCAAAATACTTAAAAGAGTGTGCTGTGCAGCCAAGTCTTTATATTTAAGAAACATAATTAAGAATGCCTCTAATAAAATTAGAATGACTTGGAATAAAATCAATAGTGAAAACTGGCAAGATGAAACTACACAACTCAAAGTTACAATTAAATTTTATCAATAATTTGACAAAATCAGATCAAGACGTTGCAACGGCTTTTGAAAAATATTTTACCGACATTCCGATCTTGACTACAAAGTCACTCAACTCCTCCCCTGCTGTCACCGAGTCATTTACTCAAACAAAATGTAAATGTCTGTAAAAAGAATTTGCATTTCAGAGAATATTATCAGGTGATATTGTAAAATATTTCAAAACTATTGATATTAATAAAACAGCAGATCTATGGGAGATTTCTGTTAAAGTTATTGCGTGTATAATAGATGCGATCGCACCCCAACTTGCTATTATTTTCAATGCTAGTATCGAATCTGGTGTTTCCTGATTTAATGAAACATAGTAAAATTATAGCTTTATTTAAATCTGTCAGTACTAATGACCCCACTAATTTTAGACCAAAGTTCAGTGAATTATTGAAAAAATTATTCTAGATCAAATGTTAAGTTTTTTAATGTAAATAAATTACTCCATAACAATCAGTTTGGATTTACAAGGGGTCGCTCGACAACTGTGCCAGTGTTGAGCTAATCAAATATATTTTCTGTGCATGGGAAAATTCAGAAAATGCTTTGGGTATATTTTGTGATCTGTCCAAGGCTTACGACTATGTTCACCATGAGGCATTAATCAGGAAGTTACATCATTATGGTGTAAAAAACATAGCACATAAACTTATTATGTCATATCTTAATAATAGAACGCAAACAGTTGTTATTAATGGACGCAGTTCTTCCAGATCAATAGTATCCTACCTCAGGGCTTAGTTCTTGGTCCCTTTCTGTTCTTAGTTTATATTAATGACTTACCATACTTGGTAGGAAATAACCAGGATGTAGACTAAAAAGGCAATTATTGAAATATGACGAAGTGAATAATGCTATATCAAAAGAAATACACTGGTTTAACGTTAATCATTTGCTTTTGAACGGAAATAAAACTGTATTAAATTCACTACACCTAATGTTAAACAGGTGAATATCAATGTGCTTTTAAATGGGGAGGAGCTGGGCCTTGTTGCATCCAGTGTTTTTCGCGGAATTACAGTTGATGCGAAGCTTCAACGGGGCCCTCATATATATAAACTAGCTAGCAAACTTAGTTCTGCAGCATATGCTGTAAACAAGATTAGATGCCTTACACGTGTTAAAACAGCTGGATTCGTTTATTTTAGTTATTTGCATAGCATAATGTCATATGGAATCTTGCTATGGGGTAATGCGACTCACATTGAAACTATCTTTGTTTTGCAAAAGAAAGCCATAAAAGCAATTTATAACCTAGGTCCGGAAAATTTAAAGAAATTAACTTTGGCCTCTCAATATATTTACGAGAATTTAACGTATGTACATAAAAACAAAAATAGTTTTATTAAAAATAGTTATATACATTCAGTAAATACTAAGAACAAGCACAAGTTAGTTACACCAGTTACTTGACTCCAGGGTCAGTAACTCCTTCATGGGGCAATGTATACGCTTTTACAACAAAGCCCCAGAAAATATGCAGACCCATTCTATCAAAAGGTTTAAATTATTTATTAGGCAAAAATTGTCTAGTAAGGGTTATTATACTACTAAAGAGTAAATAATTGAATAAAAATGATTATATTCTATCGCATGCCTTAAGCGCAAAGCGCGTAGGTATGTTCTACTAGCACCTAAAAATGAAGATTCCAACGTTTTGTCGCATAAAATCGTATCTAACAATCATTTTGAACATATAAATGATATCAAAAGCACATTGTCAGAAAGATAAATGATTGTTGAACTTAGTAATTTTTTTTTTAAATCAATTTATTCCTATTTTTATATAAAAAAGTGGTTTTAGTGGCTTATGGTGTAGATTAGAACTTTTGAAAATATTGATTGTTTAACTCAATCTATTTTTTAATCTCTTCATCTATCATGTGTTTAATTTTCTTTTGTTTAGTTTTAGTTTAATTTTTTTCGGCGTAGAAATTCGGAAATTTTCGGTGTTTTAGCAACCTTGTAATAATTTATTTTACTAAAGAGACACTCAAAGAGCGCTGTACAAATACAAAATATTCGAAAAAGCAAATTTCATATATACTTGATTATTATAAAAATCAGTTATTTTTGTTACAATATTTTAAAAGCACAGAATAAATAATAGTACTAAGTACTAAAAGTAAGGAGGATGTATATATTTAGGTATATTTATACTTAAATGCGTCTTAAACTTTATGGAGTGACCTAAATGATGATATGATAATCATATATGAGCATTATGCGTCGTGCACTTTTGGATTTACAAACTTTTTTCAAATTGAAGTTTGACATAAAATTATTGGAAAATTGGAAGTATAATAATAAGGCTCTATTAGTGAACACTTGTGTGTACTTAAATTACTTAAAAAAATTTACGTATAATTATTATTTATTTATTTATTTAGATAGATAGATCATCGACAATATCAATACGCATTGTTACAAACGAAATACAAATTTCTTTAGACAAAGGATATGTCTTTACAGGTGTATACATCATTATAAGAAAAAACTAAACAACATACATATAAACTATAAACAAACAGAAATCAAACTAATTGAGCAAAAGCACCACATCCAGTATAAAATTGCAATAAATAATAGTTTAGAATCATTAATCGGGCAATATGTTATAGTAAGTCTACATTTTCTTTTGAATACACGTCTGGGGTCGCTAAAGATGTCGATGTCATGATTGTTTAAGCTGTTGTAAGTTCGCATACATCTATTTAACGGTGAAAACTTACCAAGATTGGTTCTACTGAAGGGAATATTTAATAAATTGGTAATTGGGTGTCTAGGAATA